ACGTTGGGCTCGGACTTGGTCTGTTCTGGCGCGCAGGCTGCGATGGTCAGGGCTTCAGGTGCGTCAACAGGCCAGTGTTCACAGCACTGTGAGCAGCTGTGGCACACGCAGCAGTCCTGTGCAGGAGGCACTTCTCTGCAGATGTGAGCTAAACCTGAACTCTGAAGACCTAACTAACAGCTGAAATTTGGAGGCCAGCCTGCACTACACAGGGAGACCCTGTAGACCCCAAAAATAAACAAAAAAGAAGGTTCAAACTACTGGGTTATTTATACTATTTCCAACTTCATTATTGATGCAGGTTACAATATTAAAATACAAGGAAATTAAAAATACATATTATAAATTTAGCATGGCACACAGTTTTATCCATGTGTAAAAATACTAATTGCCCAGACCCCCTTCCCATTACCCTGCCTTTCTCCAGTGCTGCTTTACTGTATGTTTCAAACTTAGATCAAACAAAGATCAGCTCATGCCCTTCTCCACCAACTCTATCCAACTTTCTCTTTCTCCATGTTTCTTGATCTTCAGAATAGGCTTTATGGTTTGCTTTTTACTAGATCAAAGATTTCATGAAATAAAAACTAGAAAGAATTAAAGGACAATTCCTGGATTTAAAAAGTTTAAATATGGAACTCACAGTTCTGCTTTCCCTGCTCTGCGCGAGCACCACTGCCCCACGAGGAACCTGCCAGGAGCTCGGCCCAGAGTCCGCGTACCAGCCAGCCTGCCCCCAGCATGCCTGCCTGCGGCCACTGGCTTCTGTTACGCTGATGCTAAGGGAACCACAGTCCAGCACTGGTTCCTTTTCCTTTCTGTACCAAGAATACTGGCCAGGTTAGCACAAGTAATATTACCATCTCAACCCATTCGTTTGGAGAACACAAATTAACATATCAGTATGCAGTGTGACCCATTTGATACTAGGAAAATTATGCAGTTTCACTATATGAGTCTAGAAACAAGCAGTCATAAATGGAAAACTAGTCTTTACTAAATTTTACATAGCTTCTTTACTAACATACCAAAATAATGAGCATGTATACAATAATACCAAAGATAAGGTAACCAAGACTGCTGGAAGAAAAATGAGGCATAATACACATTTTAATTTCTCTGGGCCAGGGGTTTAGCTCAGTGGCACAAGCACCTGCCTGGCAAGCACTACGTCATAAATTCAATCCTCAGTACCAAAAAAAAAAAAAAGAAAAAATTAATTTCTCAAGTAAACAATGTAATATTGTAAGAAGTTTTAAGAGCTTAGAAATTCTCAAGAAGGATGATTAACAAAATGAAGTCTTTAAATACAGAGGAATAAATCTAACAAAACATGTACAAAGCCTCTAGGCTTAAAATCAGAAAATATTACTGCTAGAAAATAGACATGTGAAGACAAATACCATGACCACAGACTGTAAGATTCAATATAATAAGACATCAGCACTACCAAAACTCATCTACAGATTCAGTGCAATATCAATCAATATCCATTTTTTTCCTGTAGTTTCTACAATTATGGAAATTCTCAATTACAGAAATGTAGAGAACAGAGGAAATCTTGAAGAACTGACTTATTTAGATGCCAAAATTTATTATAAAGCTATAGCAATTAAAGAGAGCTATGAAATCAGAAAACCTAGCCCCAGACCCACACAAATATGATCAACTTATCCTAATGAGGGTGAAAATGCAACAAAATGGGCGATGGCTGGATGTCTCCATGAATGTCTCCAGGTCCTCTGGACACTCAGTATATAAAAAACATGAACCTTGATCTTTACCTCACACTATACACAAAAATCAATTCGAGATCAACCACAAATTTCAACATGAAGAAGTTTCCAGAAAAAAAAAACTTCAAAGAATATATCAATGGTTGAGATAGACGGATTTTTCTAAGAGCAACACAAAATATATTAACATAAATGAGGAAAAATTATAAATGAGATTCTATATAAATGGAACCTATTATCAAGAGCTACTATTAAGAGTAACAAGGCAAGATATCCTTAGAGCATCTATCTCTAACACCTTGAGCTGACAAAAAGATCTACAACACATGTACAAGTTATTACTTGGCAAAAAAGGGGCAAACTTTAAAATCAGACAAGTATAGACCAGGTAATCTACAAAAAGAGGATATTCAAACGAACAGTAACTATAGGAAAAGGTGCTTGACATCTTCGGTCATCAGAGAAAAATTAAACAACCTGTAGACACATCCACAGTCACCAGCATGGCTACGGTGACAAACACTACAAAGTGCGGCCAGAGACCCTGCGCGGTACCCCTGGGAGTGGGAACTGGCACCACAACCTGGTAAAAGTGGCAGCAAATTTATCAAAGCTGAGTATCTGCCTGCAGACCTTGTTACCTTTAGATGAGGTACACACTTACAAGAAAACCACAAATACACACCAAAGCATGTGTGCAAAGAGCTCGCCTGCTGCAACAGCTCCACAGAGGAAACAATGTAAAGGTCTTCACAGTAAGCAGGGTAAAGGACCACTAGAGAGCAGTACCATGAACCTCTCCTCCTCCCCAGAAGGCCGGGAGTCTTCCCAACCTAATTCTGAGGGAAAGAGACCAGACAGCATGGCGCCATTTTTATCCGATGCCATTAAACAATGACTTGACAGGCGGATGTCATCGGGGTGTTGGGAGCAGGTACAGGAGCGGTGGGCAGGTGGGGCTAACACAGGACTAGGAAGGGTTTCTGTCCGCTAGAACCGTCCGCTCATCAAGACCCACTGGGCTATGTATCTGCGTTCACGGATACTTCAATAAAAGGCACAGTAAACAACCAACCCTTCAAGGGACCACACAAACTAGGTTAAGAGAGACAGCGCTTACTGGGAAGGCTGAAGGGACTAGAAACAGATATCAGGTTTTTTTCTACTACCACCTTCGGAGTCCCGTTCACTGCAGAAAGCCAGTGCGTAAGGACAAGCACAGCCCACTCCCACTCTGAAAAGAACACCTACCTCAGTCCTAGGAAAAGGAGAGGAAAAGAGTCTAGGAAAGTAACGTGGGGAAAATACCAAGTATCAAGTGAGCAGTTCACTAGATGGTCTTCCTGACACAGAGGACCAAGATCTAAAGGATCTTGTACAAGAGGAACACTGACCTTGTACATGGGGGTCCCTGCCTCTATGCCTGTAGCTACAGAAGCAAAGTCAACTGACAGCTGACACATTGAGCTCACCAGGGTGGCAGGTCCCACAGAGAAGGGGCCAGAGCCACGACTCCTGGCTCTGGAGTGCATCTGTTTAGGAGTTCCCTCTGTAGATGGGGGGGTCAGTGAGTGGGCAGATGAGTGGGTGGATGGGTAGATGAACAGCAGGTGAGTAGGCAGGCGGGTGGTAGGTGCTGGTTAGTGGGTAACGGGGTGACAGGCCGGTGAGGGGGTACGTGGGTAGGTAGGCAGATGAGGGGTAGGAGGGTGGGTAGGTGGACAGGTGGGTGGGCAGGCAGGGAGATACCTACTCAGTGCCTGTGACACGAGAAAACAACTGAGACTGAGAGACAGAAGCCCCAGCAGAAAGCCTGTCATGGCAGACACACAATAAATGACAAATGTCCCAGAGGGTCCTGCACCAGTGGTTTCTTCTCTCACTCTGCTCAAATTTCTTTTCTCACACAAGGACAATCAAAGTCCCTCGACATCAGAAAATTCCTTTGTCACACGTTGCAGCTATTTCCTTATTGCTGAAACTCAACTGTGACGAAGACCAGATGAGTGATGACACAGGACACAGGACACAGGCAGCGCGGGAGGCACTCAAGTGCAGACGCCATGAAAGCTGCCAGCGTGGCTGCCTTTGCACGCCAGAGACCCGTAACTGCCAGTCCCTGGTGATCGCACTGGGGAGAGACCCCACACCCTACCATACAAACACTGCCCATTTTCTAGACTCTGCCCGGCACATGTGGGGGGGGCGGATGGCATGCGTGGTTAGCGTGGGGACTTTGTCTGCACACTCATCACCAAGGCACACAGCAGCTGGGCCCGCATGCACCCGGGGCCCTGGAGACTTTCCTACCATTTTCCTCTCCCTAAACTAAAATGTTATCAACACCACTGTGCCCAGTGAGGCAAAATCTGCAACATGGAAAAGGCGGACAAAGTGGCCGATCTTCTAGCCTACCATCCCCAAACTGTGGGGTGGGAGGCCCACGTTCACTTCCAAGAACCAGGGAGCTTGGTGCTGCTCTGTGTCCTGGATAAAGGCAAGGAAGTGGGCAAGGAGTCCTGATTATGTGCACTGATTGGCTCATACAATTACACAGTAAGTGGTGATTTCTTTGTGTCTATTTAATAGCCAATGTTTACTCAGCAGACTATGTGACAGACCCAGCACCAACCACTTTGAAGGCACTATAAAAAAGACAATAGTAAGATAGCTATTTTAAGAATTGAAGTCGGGCATGGTGGCACATGTCTGCACTCAGCAGGCTGAGGCAGGAGAATTACTGTGAGTTCAAGACCAACCTGGGTTACATAATAAGACTGTATCAAGCACCAAAAGAAACAAATCAACAGTCCCCCCAAAAATAACTGAAAAATTAATGCTTTATCTTAAATTCATTTCATTCATAACTCAAGGTAACTCCTCAAAAAAAGCAACAACAGAATCTTACTTCATTAATTGTCTCTAGAAGAAGAAAAGGCTAAGTACAAAGTGAAATTTCAACTCTTAATATTCTCATCAAAAAAGAACTTTTAGGACTCTCAAATGACTTCATTATATTCTTGCCTGTTTATTTCAAGCCTACAGCAAAACTCAGAACTTGTCTGAGACATAAAATTAAAACTTTTTTGAAACTTGATTATATATCAAGCCAAAGATAGTGATATAATTAAGCATCACCAGAGAAGTCTGAAATCTGAAAGTGCTCAATTTACACAGAACAGTATTTGTAAAGTGCTGTCACGGGGCTACCCTGCAAACAGCCCCGTGGCAAAACTCCTGACAGCACGGAGCCGCACCCCTCACCTGAGCGTGGAAATTGGACATGGTGGTGGTCTCGATGTCCTTCTTCCCCAGGATCTCCATCTTCACCGGGGAGTTGGGGAAGTTGAAGGAGAAGTAGTCTAAGAAGTCGGGCAGGTAGGCCGCCGCGCCGTGCACGATGCCCATCACGTACAAGGCGGCGGCGCTCTCGTTCTCGCTGAAGGCCAGGCCCACGAACTCCTCGGCGAACCTCTCCATCTCGGGGGGCGCCAGGCGTGCCAGCTCGCCGCCGTAGGCGTGCAGCACCGCGGCGCCGCCGTTGGGCTGCTGCTCCACGTGGATGAGCTGCTTGAACTCCAGCGCGTCCAGCCTGCGCAGCGTCTCCCCCACGCGGGGCTCCTTCAGCGACACGAAGGGGAGCGCGCTGCTCTCGGGGGCCCGGGGGTCCGCGGCCCGCCCCGTGCGGTCCCTGCCACCGAGCACGCCTTCGGCTGCCTCCTCCTCGGCGTCAGACAGCAGTCCTGAGCAGACCGTCTGAATGGATTTGCTATACATTTTCGGACGCTTCCGTTTCTCGTTCTCTTTGTGTTTCTTTTTCTTTTTCTTCTTTACCTTTTTAATTTGTAAGTCGTCTACATTTGCTTTTGGTTTCTCCTTCCCACCTGTTGGGAAAAATTTTTTTGAAACGCCGTATTTTTCCATTAGTTTAAATAAAAAAACTATGCTTTGGAATACATTTACTTCTGATACTTCTGAAAATTTACTCAAAATTAGTTTTCCATTTGGGCCTTATTTTAAACAGTACTAATAACTAAACTACAAGCTGAGTGTGATGGTACACGCCTTTAATCCCAGTCACTCAGGAGGCTGAGGCAGGAGGCTCGCTGCAAGTTTGAGACCAGCCTGGGCTACAGAGTGAGTGCAAGGCCAGCCTGAACTGCTCAAAAAGACCAAAAAAAAACCCTAAACTACATCCAGTTAATTTCTCTCATTCTCTCTCTCTCTCTCTCTCTCTCTCTCCACACACACACACACACACACACACACACACAGGTTTAGGACCAATTTACACCCAGTGGTACAGGTTACCATTCTAACACAGTAGAAGCTCAACTGGTACAAAAACAAGATGAATGAATGTTTACATAGCAAGACCATAAAAAGAAAGTTTAACATTACAAACTGTTAAAACCTTTGTTTGTTTGTTTGGTACAGGGGATTGAACTCACAATCTCATAGCTTGCTAGGCAGGCCCTTATGCCACTAAGCTAAAGCCCTGACAAAAATTCTTAAAAACTCATAGAAGACATGAATCCATAGGTATGTAATGAAGAACAAAATCAATGTTGTGAAAGGCAAAAATAGAAAGTCAGCCAGGAATGCTGGTGCATGCCTAAAACTCCAGCACTCTTAGGAAGCTGAGGCAGAAAGATCTCAAGTTCTAGCCCCAGCCTGAGCAACTCAGTGACTTAGGATACCTTGTCTTGAAATTAAAAATGAGCTGGGTGTTCTGCTACACCCAGAAGGCTGAGACAGGAGAATCAATGCAAATTGAAATCCAGCCTGAGCTACACAGTGAGCTCCAGGCCACCCTGAACCACACAGAGACCCAGGCTCAAAAACAAAACAAAACTTAAAAATCAAAAAGGGCTGGTATTGGAAGGCTGAGGCAGGAACATCATGCGTTTGAGGCCAGCTTAGGTTACATAGTGTGTTTAAAGACTAACCTGAACTGCACAGGCAAGACCCTGTGTCATAAAATACAAAAACAAGCCAGGGATTTAACTCAGCGGTATGTGTTTGCCTGGCAAGCACAAGGTCATGAGTTTGATCCCTGGTACCAAAAAAAAAAAAAAAGGGCGGGGGGTGAGGGAGCTGGAATTGTGGTTTTAGTATATAGGCCTTAGGTTCATCCTTAGTAATGCCAAAAGAAAAGAAAAAGGAAATCTGTCCATTAGTCATTACAAAGGCTGTATAGTCATAAAAAACAAAATGTTAATTTTTTAAAGAGTCTACCTATATGTAGTTGAGAAGCGTATACTTATGTATAGTACATATAATAAAGATATATAAGTATATAAATATAAGCTCAGTTATATCAAAATGTAGGATTCAGATTAGTATCTTGAAAACAACATCAATTAAAAAAGAGTGGGCCAAGGGGCTGGGGATTTAGCTCAGCGGCATAAGCGTCTGTCTTGCAAGCAGGCAGTCGTGAGTTCGATCCCTGGTACCGATAAAAAGGAAAAAGACAAAAAAAAGAAGAATAAAAAAGAGTGGACTAAACAAAATGATAAATCACAGAAGTATACATATGTAGGCATAATTCAAACAAATTAAGAAAAAAGATAATAGAATAAAAATAAAAACGTAAAAAGCTTAAAGAGCACAGGTGTGTATGAAAGCATTTCTGAACTCTGAAAATACATAAAATTGCATAAATTATATAAATTTGCCAAAATACATAAAACCGCATTGGAATAAAGATATGTAGTACCCTTCTACGTTCATACCTAACACTTTTTGTAAAGTTAAATCAGAAAATACCCAGCTACAGACCACACGATTACTTTGAAGTAGAACAGCAACACTTATTTTCCACACAGGAGCATGAACAAAACGTGCGCGTTTTTATCAATAGTCAGGAACTATCAAAGGCAAAGTAACAAGTCAGGGAGGAGCTCCTCACACGGAGAGTGGCCCGGGGTAGCGGCGGCCCTGGGCCTGGGCACCCGGCCTCGGAGGGCGCCCCTGCACCTCTGCTGCGAAGGGACAGCCCGGCCGGGCTTGGCTCTGATTCCCCATGCCCTTCACTGGGCAAGCCCAGCCCTGAGCGGAACTGTCAGCTGGGCTCCAGGCTGGCGGGCAGCCCCAGGGCGCCTGTCTCTGCTTACCAAATGCATGGGAGGGTCAGGTTCGTTAACAAACCATGAGAACACTACCAGTCTTATACTAAAAATTATTTAAAGTACAAATTACTCAAAATCTGGAATCTCTGAATAAAGCCTAATAGACCAGACTCATTAAAACACTGGTAGATATTTGTAACAGAATGAATGAAGTTGCTAAGTAATCTAAGCCCTAAAAGTGTTAAGATCTGAGGAGTGTGCAAATATGCACACACACACACACACACACAAAGAAGCACATGGAAAGCCACAGTCAGAGCCAGAAAGGAGCCAGCGCTCATGCTGCCAGTGCCCAGGCACCCGGGGCTGGGGTCACGTGGAGTCAGGGACAGCTACCGGCAGTGCGTATCCTCATCACCAATCATGGAAAAGTCACCTTGCAGATAAACCCGCTGATACTACCTTCTACCACTACCATTAGGGTATGTTTGTGTTAATAAAGTGAAAAGTAAACGTTACTAGAAACACTAGAGCTTCATGTCTGACTCAGGAACTAACATCCACCATTCCATCATCAAACCTAGAAGCAAAGCAGGGTCCCCTCCAGCCTCCAGGAGGATCGAGTTTCCACTCTGCAGCACTGCAAGTCTCCGACTGTGCCTTCCAGTGACCTCTGACCTCGGCTCCTGCTGACCTCGCTCCCCCACTGCCCACGCAGCTGCCCACTCCCCAAAAGCAACAACGGCAAGCTGCACCTGGCCACACGTGTTCCCACAACTCACTAAACCGCACAGAAATGCACAGATGCGCTGAAACGCAGCAGACGAACCTTAGTATAAACGGATGGAAACCACTAAATAATCACGTTGCAAACTTATTTGTTCCTTTAAACTATTTGTAAAAGTAAATAATTACCTTTTTCAAAGCTAACGTCTAAAAGATTTAGAAGCCTTGGGGCTGGGGATTTAGCTCAGCGGCATAAGCGCTTGCCTTGCAAGCAGGCAGTCGTGAGTTTGATCCCTGGTACCGATAAAAACGAAAAAGACCAAAAAAAAAAAACAAAAACAAAAAGAAGTCTTTCTGCGTTAAAAACGTTTTAGCACGCCTCGAATCGTGGGTCAAGTCAGCGTCTAGCCGCAAGCGCTCTCGCCAGGCCAGGCTTGCACTCTCTTTGGGGCCTGTGGCACTGCAGCTGCGGGAGGAGAGTCGGGCACGCAGGGCCAGGGCACTGGGGCGCAGCCGCACAGAGGGACTGGTGTCCGGCGGGACACTGACCTTCTCTAAGGGTTTCTAGTGGACTTATCACCAGGCAGTGGAGACAGCTCGGGTTCTGCTGCTTTAATCTCTGGAACATGTTTACACACCCGCTTCCTTCCTGCTGGCCTCTCCATGCTGCTCAGCAGTAACCACTTTTCTTCTTTCCCCCTCAGTGTTTCCAGGGTCATCCCTTCTAGAAGTCACTGCCCAAATCTATCTCGACTTTTTTCCTTTATTGTCACAATCTTCACTTTAGCTCAGTTCAAAATACCTCCTAAACATTACTTGAATGTCAGTGTTAACATTGTATATTCCAAGAAAATCTCAATTTTTAGATTTTAATTTTACAAGCATATATACAGTAATCTATAGAGTCACATAATTCTCCAAAAAACATAAGCTTTTATAAAGTGTTTCTAGGACATAGATTCCTTCTCAAGCAGAAATTTATATCACTGTAAACTCAAATGGGTAACAACATAGCCATTTTTTTTTTTTGTCCTTTTCCTTTTTTATCGGTACCAGGGATCGAACTCAGGACTGCCTGCTTGCAAGGCAGGCGCTTATGCCGCTGAGCTAAATCCCCAGCCCCCTGACTAAGCCAATTTAAAAAAAAAAAAAAAAGACTATTTGACTCACTTAGCAGGGTAAAGTGGTATAACACTTTAAACAGCAACCCCTGGCTGCCTGTAGCACTGGTGAGGTTAGATTCTCCTCCTGCACCAAAGGCGTACACTCTAGTTAGACCACACAGACAAAACACACTGGCCAAAGAACAAAAGGATCAACAGCGCTAACTAAAGAGCCACCCACTTCAGCTCCGACACTTCCTCAAACTGAAGGGACATTCCTGAAAATAAAGTTTTTCCCAGCACAGAGGATTGAGTGGCAGCCCTCGTACACACATGACCAGCACTCTATCACTCAGCTGTGTCCCTGGCCCACAGAAAATAAAACTCCGGCACACAGAGCACAGAGCTGGAAAAAAGCGCCTCCAAAGAACACCTGTCCATACGGCAAAGAATGGGACGAAAACAAAAGGACAAAGAATGAGATGAAAAGGCTCTGTCTGAATAATGCAGGTTAACTGCACTACAGGCTACTCCTCGGGGCAGAACTGAAAGCTCACCAACGCATAAATGCAATATGAAATCAATTAACAACTACCACCTAGAGGGAACAGCCTTCTTGTTATCTGGGTGAATTTAAGGATGGTCACTATTCTTGCATAAATTCCAAAAAAGTTCTGATTTAGTCATAGGATTTATATTTCATTTATTGCCCAATTACCTATTCTCCAAATTCTTCACTCCATCCTGCCCCATGTAAAAAGAGTAATTGAATATAACTGTTATAATTGTAACAGCAGAGAAAAATAGACAAAAAGATGATATTCTTATACATACAGGGAAACAGTATCACTTAAATTAAACTCAGAATAAAATGTTCGTTCTTAATCCTCGGCTATGATATAGTGCTTAAAGTCAAATATTCGTAAGAAGAACCCTTCCTTTATGAGACAGGGTCTCAATGCACAGTTCAGGCTGGCCTTGAACTCACTATGTAGCCCAGGCTGGTCTTGAACTCTTGGTGATCCTCCTGCCTCAGCCTCCAGGGACACCTAGAAGAAGACCACTTATTTCCCTATCCCTATTATGCAGAAAATTGCTTTAGTCTTTTAGATTACCTAAATATAAATAAGCACTAATAATGCAAATAGAAGTACTTACTAATGTAACTTACTTTGAAACAATTTAAGGAGTCTAATAGTTTAATAAAGTTTAATCTTTAAACTTTCTAACAACTCATTAACACAAATAAATGTACTAAAGACATGTCACCATGCTGATTGGAACACCTCAATACCTCATTCCTGTTTTACTGATTTATCACTGATGTTTGTCCTCAGCAAAAGCCAGCATCAAACAGGGTTGCTTATTTTAATCACTTAGAAATATGCATACTAAACAGAATATGGAATGAAAATCATGGAATATGAACTTACTTTTCAGCAAAATCTTCACTTCTCCATTCTCTTTCTTGATCTCATTCATTACTTTATGCTTCTTTTTTTCTCTCTCTTTTTCTTTGTCTCTCTCCTTAATTTTGTCTTTGATTTTATCTGAAAGATGACATAAAGGAAATACTTAAAATTACTGGCATCTTAATTCTTCCTCATGAACTGTGTTCAATTTCTTAAACTCCAATACACAAAGGAATCCCAACAAGAGAAGAAATATGCCTTTTCTTCTTCCTCTCAGGTTTAAGGAATATTTCGAAACTCCCACTGTTATGATTATGGAAGAAATAATGTCAAAATTTATCACTAGATCTTTCACATTAATGACCACTTTCATATATTTCATGGCAACTAGAATACCAGACTAAGTTCAAATCATATAAAATAATTTGCTACTTCCCCTCCCCACTGGTCTGCTTCTCCTCACAGCACATCCTTCTTAAACACCCAACCTTAGACGCCTCCATGGAGCTCCTGTGACTATGAACACACCTCTGCTACACAGTGAGACAGAGCCAGCGAGGGCACGGGCCCTGCGAGCTGTCACCTCCCAGCTTCGGTGAGAAGCCCTGCTCACGTGCAGGCCCGACAGGAAGGCGCGTGGCCAGCCTCACTGTTAACACGCTCGCCTTCACAGACGCTCCTTCCTCGAAGATGGCTTCAAGGAAGGAACCACTGTTCCTAGGACACCGAGACTTCCCATCTGTGTTTATTTCTTTTCATGACCAGTAGTTTACAGTCTTATCCTTCATGGCCTCATCTAAGGCAAAGGAAAAGGTTTCTAACTCACCTCATCCTAATTCTTAGAATAAAAGCAACACTCATCCCACCAAAGGATGTGTGTGAAAAGTTAAGCATGATTAGTGTAAGAAATACAAGTTTTATTTAGAAACCCAGACAATGTGTGGAACAAAGAATAGCTGGAGAGATGAGCAGGAGAAGCTGTGTGGAAACAGATCCATCAGCAGGGTGTGGGATCCCAGCACCCGCAGCATTGCACAGGGTTTGAGGCTAGCCCGAGCCTCATAACAAAACTTTGACCCAAAAAACAAAAACATAATTCAGAAAAGAAATAAACCCATCTTTGACCGCAAGCAAAGATAATAAAATTTAAAAAAAAGATCTTTTCAACAGCACTAGAATAACCAGACACCCACCTGCAAAAACACAAATCTAAACACAGACCTTACACCCTCCCTTTGCAAAAAGCAACTCCAAGTGACAGACCGAAATGGAACATGCAGAACTATAAAAACTCCTAAAAGGTTACACAAAAGAAAATCTAGATGATACTGGTGTCACAGTTACCCTTCTCATTCTGAAACAAAATACCCCACACCCAAATTTAAAGGAGGGCAGGTTTTGGGTTTGTTTTTTGTTTTTGTTTTTTTGGTACTGGGGATCGAACTCACAACCTCAAGATTGCCAGGCAGGCACTTATACCACTGAGCTAAATCGCCAGCCCAAAGGAGGGAAGGTTTATTTGGCTCACAGTTTGTGGAGGTTTCAGTCCTTAACTGGCTGGCTCCAAGGCAAGGTGGGGTGGCAGAGAAGAAATAATCCACAGAGAGCAAAGGGTGGCAAAGCAAACAAGATGGTAGTAGCGTCTTTCTGTCCCCTTTATACTCTAGGCTACCAGGACAGGGCGATGCCAAACCCATCAGTGGACTGATACAGTACTCACACCAGCATCACACAATCCAGATTCAGCTACACCTGCAAAGCCCAACCTATGACCATAGGAGGCTTTGAGAGACACCTAGACACAAACCGTAACAGCTGAATTTGGTGATGGTTGATCTTTCTAGATCTGGGCACTCTAGACCCAGCACAAAGTCATGAAGAGAAATATCCAGTATGCTGGATTTCATTAAAAATCTGAAGAAAAAAAAAACACTGTCAAGAGAATAAAAAGACAAGCCACAAAAAGGAGAAAATATCTGCCAAAGGTATATCTGATAAAGGATATTATCCAAAATAGTCCTTAAAACTCACAAGAAAACAATCCCAATTTAATAGTGAACCAAGGGGAAGGGAGGAGAAGGGAACGGAGGAGAAAAGAAGGAGAGCAGAGCAGGAAGGAGGAGTAGAGGAAAGACACATGAGCCACAGGCCTCCCCACAGAGACACACAGTAGCAGTTGCATCTGCAAGAGACTGCACAGCACAGGCCACCCGCATGGCACTAACGCAGGCACACTTCACACCTAACACAACACCCAAGCCCCAACACACTTACGACACAAAGTCTGGCAAGTACGGAGAACAAAGAAATTCTTAGTCTTTGCTGGTGAGCTGCTCTAGGAGACAGCTGGGTGATTTCTTGCAAACCTAAATATACCCTGCATGATCCAGTAATTACACTGCTTGGCATTCATCCAAAGGAGCTGAAAACGTCCCCAAAACTTCATGCACACAGATATTTACAACAGGTTTATTCATAATAGCCGAATGTGGAAGCAACCAAAATGTACTGCTGTAGATGAACAGATAAAACTGTAGTACAGCCAGACAATGAAATATTCTGCAATGCTTAAAAAAAAAAAAAAAAAAAAAAAAAGAGCTTGGGTGTAGTGGTGTACCCCCTGTAATCCCAGCACTCAGGAGGCCAGCTTGGACCATCCCTAGTAGTGACAAAAAATTTTAAAAAAAGAATAGACATGGGCCAGGGATACAGCTCAGTGGTGCAAGCACCTGCCTGGCAGGCTCAAGGGCCTGAGTTCAATTCCTGGTAAGAAAAAAAAAAAGGAGAAAGGATAGATGGCTAAGTCATAACCACATGTGCATAAAGAAAATTACAGTAACTTTAAACAAGGCTACAACTCAAAATTTCAAATATATGGTCAATTTATGATTGTAGCAACCCTACATTTGGCTCCATGTGATACATTTTACATTCAACAAGCACTGTGTGCCCTGGGCCAGAGGAAGGGGAAGAACACTGCCCAAAGGACCTTACCATCAGATACCAGCTGGACTTTATACTTACCATTTTAGAAAACCAGCTCTTGTAACAAACCCTTTATTTTATCTGGTTTTAATCTCATAACAAAATTTACTACCCTCATGATAAAGTAGGACTGAAAATGCATGTGTGCCCACATATGTATGAGATAAGCTATTTCAGTAAAAAAAAAAAAAACCTTAAAAAGCAGAAGAGTGCCTATAATCCTAGCACTTGGGAGGCTGTGGCAAGACGGATTGCCACCAGTTCAAGACCAGCCTGAACTACACAGGAAGACCCTGTCTCAAAGAGAAAAACCAAAAACCTTAACACTGATATACAACCCTGGCCTTTTTTCTTTTCAATAATGTCTCATGAGACTGAGACAGGATAATCATCCTGCCTCAGCCTCCTGTGGTGCTGTGATTGTAAACAGTACCAGCACACCTGGCTTCTCAAGACTTTAATGGGTACTACTTACTTTCCTGTTCTCTAAAATATAAAACAAAGTGGTCATTTCGTTATGACAAAAATTTTAACTATCAATCTCGTATTAATGATCTCTTAGCTCAGCGGCCTAAGCACCTGCCTTGCAAGCAAGCAGTCATGAGTTCAATCCCTGGTACCGATAAAAATGAAAAAGACAAAAAAAAAAAAAAAAAAATGATCTCAAAAACAGCGAGGAAATGAGCTAAAAAAAAAAAAATAGCAGCTAAGCCTCATTTCACTGTCGGGTCTCATGCCTAACCCTCCTCTGTCCATTAGCACCTCGGTCAGAGAGGCAGTGACAGCTGAGGTTTCCAGCAGCTCACCCCCTCCCCCAACTCAGGTTCCTGCTCATTTCTGTGCGAGACAGCAGCACCATGGCTCAGGGCTCACCACTCCAGCTCACCACTCCGGTTACTTAGAGACTCCTGTGCTTCCCCATCAGTGTCCCCCACGCTCCTCCCTCCTCCAGGCAGGAGCTCCTCAGCCCACCCTCCCACATGCACAGCAGGCTGGGGTGAGCATGCCACTGCCCGGCCATTCCCAGGATTCTAGTCCATTCTTATTGGTGCGCGCACACACACACACACATACATTTAACACTATGTAACAGGACCTCGAAGGGTTACAAAAGAGAGAGAGCTGCACAAGAGTATCTGTTCCCTACATACACTTCCACAAGTAAACTACAGCCAGGCGTGGTGGCACAGAGGCTGAGGCCAAAGAATCACAAGTTCGAGGCCAGGCTGGGTGACTTAGTGAGACTCTGTCTCAAAATAAAATATAAAAAGAGCCAGGAGCCGAATGCAGTGGCACACACCTGTAAAAGTCAGCTTTTCAGGAGGCTGAACAAGTTCAAGTCCTGCCTGGGCAACCTGGCAAGACCCTCTCTCCTGCAGCACTGGCCTGGGCATGCAACTCAGTAGTAGCACCCCTGGGTCACCCCTAGTACAGAAATAAAAACAAAGGTGCCTGGGGATGTAGTTCAACACTCCCTGGTCCAACCAATGGGACAGCCAAGGAAAGATAAGACAAGAATAGATAAGCCAAGACAAGAGCCACGTGTACCCAAACAGACCTGAAAGGACAGGGCTTATCCACAAAGGACTTCTGGTTTTATTTCACATACTTCCGGATTATCTGAAGCTTTTATAACAGGGAGGTATTTATTACTTACCTATTACATATCAGTGTATAATGGAGTTGGCAGTCTACATCTCCTTCAAAAGAAGAGTAATTGGGGCTGGAGATTAGCTCAGCAGCACAAGCACCTGCCTGGCAAGGTCGTGAGTTCGATCCCCAGTTCTCCACACACAAAAAAAGAATGACTTTCAAATATTTAATCATTCATGGTATATTAAGAAATAAGAAAAACACTTCAAAATAAAGCGTTGAATGAATATATAGTTATTACACACACAGCACACACCTCCACATGCATGAGAATCTCCTCGGCATGTGCAAAGCCTCATGTGGGCTCCTGCTGTCCCCAGGCCCGGCCACAGTTCACCCAGAGGAGAGGGAAAGAGCAGGTGCAAGCCCACCCCAGCTAGTGGTTTGAAACCAGGAAGACCACTCAAGGTTCAGAAGGTCAAGGCCAGCAGGGGACACAGCAAGACTCCACAGCAAAAACAAACCAAAAGCCAAGTGAGATAGCAAGCAGTTATAACCGC